TGAGGACACAGCCCTACGCTGCAATGAAATAAAATGGTTCCCAAGCCCACCAATGCTGTCCAGTCACTTATCTGACTCAAGGTACCTGTGATATACCACCTGATCCAGCTATTACCTGCACTTCTACCAAACTTCTCAGCTCAGCTGGTGCCTGGAGGTGGGTTACTTACCCCATTACTATTCGCTATGCTCCCCCAGATACGGTAGCCCGTTACTGCACTCACGCTGAGAATACTAAATAAGGGTCCTCTTGCTAGAATCACATTTCCCCCCCTTGATTCTTGCTTTTCCCTTTCTTCCTATTCATGTTAATTTTTTCCTATCTCTGACCTCCCTCCTTAGACCAATGTCCCAGAGTCACAGGCTTTTGATGCAACTACTGGTTCCTGCTGATGCAAGACACCAGGCCAAGCAGCAGGTAGACTCTAAGACTCAGGAGGTCTGAGTAAATTCATCCAGCTACCATCTCCCCCACTCAGAACCCAGCTGGAAGCCAACCCAAGTTTGGATTTTATCCAAACCAGGTTGGTGAGGGTAGGGAAGGGCAAGGTGTGGGCACAGAACTCCATACTGGGATGACCAACCATGCTGGTTTTAGCACCGAAACTCTGCTTCCTGGGAAGCCTTTAAGCCCTAGGCAAACTGGGAAGATTAAGTCACCCTATATTGGACCTGTGCTCAGCCATGACCATACAGGAACAAACTGGTGAGTCAACTTAGTTCTGCCTATTTAACACTGAACTATTTCAGAGACCCAGCATATTCCCACCAACTTAATACTGCTACCCATAAAAGAATTAAAAAGCTCATACTGGTTGGCACGATACTGAAAATGTTAAAATAAAAAGCCATGTACAGAACAGTGTCTGCTACCATTTGTGTTTTGAAAGGGTGAGGATTAATACAAATGCACACACACAGAACCACCTAAGTTACTCCCAGGGAGGCAATTGAATTTATATAATGATCATGAAGTAGGTAGAGCACACCTACCCTACAAAAAGGCATGCTTGCATGTGTTGGTATGAGCATGAAGGTAACCCATTTATAGTAACCTCACAGGAGTAAGGTTGTAGGGGAGACAGATTTTTTGTCTATATCTTATTGTTTGACTTTATTAAAATAGAAGATCAATTTTTAAAAAGACTGATCATCAACAGAGAGGTGGACAGTGTTTGTGGGGTCTAATCCTCCGTATCACAATCTGTGGGTGGGTATCTGCGCACCTGGAGACAAAAAAGTTGGTCTTGGCTTCTGGCTCCTCTCCAAGATCACAAGACACGGTCAAGGGTGTCCAGAGGACTGAAAAATAGTCCAGTGATGAGGGGCTAGCAAGAGATTTTATCCTTTTTAAAGCTCAAACATCTGACTAGTTTCTGACAGTCTTGTATAGAATCGCAGAAGTTTTTTAAGACTCTAAAAGCATCAAGGTCATTCCTCAGCTACAAGAATACTCCAAAAACCAACTGGGCTTTCATGGAAAAAAGGGGGAATTGTTTCACTGATAGGTGAATTTTTAAGTTGGGGATAGGGCATCTCCATATACACTTCCTTAAAAGAAACAAAAACAATCCAACCTGGATTTTTCCTTTTCATTCACTCACTCACTCACACTCACACACACACACTAATCCAGTCCATTGTGCAAGTACCTTTAACCCCAGGAACAATATTTAGGCGGTGATGGCAGTGACCAGGTTAGAAGTCATTTTCTTGATAAGCCTCAGCTGATTCCCTTTCAAACTCTGGTTTGAATAAATGCCCTTGCAATGACAGTCATTCAATTCATTCCACGGACTCCAGGAACTCAGTAACCAGGATACTTGACTTGGCCCAGCACTCAAGAAGCCAGTACGCAAGCCTCCCTCACCATGCTTCCCAAACGGCCTGCCACACACTCAGCTTCCTGAAGCAGGGGTCAGGCACACACAAGGTCACTTTCTCTAAACACAAAAGCTCGGCTTCCCTTCAAATACCCCTAAATGTGAATCTCAGCAAAGACAACAGAACTCTAACGCTTTGTGTCAGGAACTTTGGTGTCAGACTACCTGAAGAGCAGAACCTTCTCCTCCCCTTCTAAACTGTGCTGAGAAAATGCAATATGCCTGGTGCACTGCGAGAGCTCAGTCAGTGTTAGACATCGTTAGTAACTATTTCTGCCATTTCAAGGAATGAACGTTCAATACCTACTGCTCTCCTGGTCACTGAGTTCAACTGAACCCTTTACAGTAACTGTCATTTCAGTATACTGCCCTCCTCATTCACAAATGCTGAGAGCACCAGAGCCCTGAGCTAGTTCAGAATGTCAGCTATTGCCTTTAGGATCATAACATCCAGATGTATTTCAAGAACCATAAACCCCTTTTCACTCTGTACTCTTCTAACATACTCAATGAGGCAGACCATCTGTCACTCAGGTTGATAGCAGAATGTCTAAGTGCATCTAAGTAGTGGCTTAAACAAATACTCTCATTATGACAATCCAGAAGTTGTCAAGTCATATTCTCATTTCCTTTAAAAAAAAAATGTCTAATTTTTCCTAGGATCTGAGGTGGAATTGAAAAATTCCAAAGACCTACAAAGCAATCATTAAGATTCTGTTTTAAAAGAAGCCAAAGTTGAGGCCAGAATTAAGGGCAAAAATGCTACAATGGTATCGAAGAGGTCATGTAATAACTCTCTCTCACATCCCCTTACCTATCCAGAGACCATGAAAGCCATCTCACTGCCATCCTAAAAATCTTGACTACCTACTTAACCCTTTTCCCCACAACCGGCTCCAGTGTTGCTATGGGGAGGGGGCAGTGTGTTGGGCCTTGGGCTTATCTTTACTTTCTAATTTTAGTCACTGATCCTTGAAAGGATTCAAGTAAAAGTGGTAGTTTTATTAGACCAAGGTAGAGATTAATCACTATTTCTTTGCATGTGGTTCTGGGAAACAAAATGCTCGAGACCAAATATATTACGTGGCTTCTGTTCCTGTTCCTCTGCCTGGGAACCTGGTACATTCAACGATAACAATTCTCACTGCTGTTGGGAAGGGGCTTACCCTGAAAGGAAACTGGACCCAACAGCAGGGGCACATTACCTCTGCTATATTTTACCATGCCTTGTGGCCTGGCTTAGTTCCTGAGACATGTTTAGACATACCTGACACCTTTGAGTCCGGAGGCCTACCCTTGACCAAGCCTATAAAATCTAATCATTAGCCCTCAAACCTGACCCCCCGTTTCCACTTACAGCTGAATTTTGCAAAAGCCTGAATCAAATTAGACCATTGAGTCTTCCTGCAGCTCAGAAAGTATGCTAAGCCTTAGGCAGAGGCACACAACAGCCTTGGGCACTTCCAACAGCTTTAACTAGACCTTTCACTTTGGGCTTCCTAGTGTTCTGCAGAGCAAGGCACACTCTTAACTCCCTTTTCTATCTGGTCTATGGCTTCCACTAAAGGGCAATGGACTGGTGGCTGCAGCCTACCACTGCACTAAGGTCTCCTAAATCATCTCTCGAAACAACACATCTGGTTACATCCATTAAAGTCTAGATGGAATTTTCCACTGACAACACTGTGTGGATGTTGAGGAGACCGTATCGCATGGCTGACTATCTCAAGAGAGATTCCCAAGGGCTCTAAGTAGCAAACTGAGTCACATGCAGTGGTGGGTTTTTTGTGTGTATGTTAGTATTTTAGGAGGTCACCGGGTAGCACAAATGGTTAAGCACCTGACTACTAGCCAAAAGGTTAGCAGTTCGAACCCACACAGATAAGCCTTGAAGACAAGCCTGGCGATCTGCTTCTGAAAGGTCACTGCCTTGAAAACCCTATAGAGCAGTTGTACTCTGCACACATGGGGATTGCCATGAGCAGGAATTGACTCGATGGCAGCTAACAACACAACAGTATTTTAGGCAGAGAAAACTTTGAAAAATATGTCTCGCAAGTACTTAAACATTTCTTCCACATCCACTGAGGATACAAAGTACTTAAAATTCAACTTCAGCCATTAAGATCTGTGCAGCCTGTTTTAGCTTTCAATCATTCACTATAATTATCTTCCCTTTCAGCTCTTGGGAGAGAGGAATTCTGGCCCAAGTATGGCAGGAGACACAAATCAAATTTGGTCTTCTGCCTAGCTCCCTTACTCATCACTGATCCTTCTAAGTTCAGCTTTTAAACAACCCAAACTTTTGTACGTTATAAATTAATATCTATAACCCATATTTTTCTTCCCTCAAATTTATACAGCAGCTGATAAACATTTAAACCTATTTACAGGATAGCATGCCTATAATCCAACAGTGCTCTTTCAGCAACCTTCTGTTTTTGTCTAGACAGCAGTACTTACTTGTGCAATTAATTATATAATAAAACACAGAAATAAAATGTATTTATAGTTCAAAGATATAAGTCTTAAACTACAATTGAAACAAATATAGAGATTATCAGACATACCCAAAGTAATAGATCTACAGCCTTAATAAGATTATTCACTAAATGAATGCACAAGTGTGAAGGAAAAAATTTATAAAAGCTAGAAATATGTCAAAGAATGTGTGAGAATAGGTTGAAGTTAAAAAAAGAAAAGTCTAGCTTCCTGGAAACAGAACCCACCTCACAACAAGCAAGCCTATTAACTAAACATTAGGCCAATTTCTAGGAACACATTACACAGGACAAGTAAAAGTCACTACTAAAACCAAGTAATGGTCACATGGTATATTTTAATTATTTACCCAAAATAAACCACCACCAGTCACCACAAAACCCAATTTTCTTAAATTTGTAGTCAGGAAACAAAAGCAGTGGTTCTTAACCCTAGATATAAATTAGAATCACTTGGGAACACCTATGCCTGGATCGTTCTCCAAACAATTAAATCAGAAACTGTGGGCATAAAGGTTGAGAATCACAGAAATAAACATCTTTTTCCTATTAAGCTAAATATAAGTCCTTCTGAAAAGTAATCTAATACTAATGTCCCACACTTCCACTTAACAAATTTTCAATATGCAGCCAAGAAAAGGAAAAAAGTCATCAACGTTTGCTTGGGATATTCAACTCAAGAAAGGAGCACATCATCTTACCAATTCACTTACCCTTACAAAGTTCCAAAGCAAACTTCCACAAGCACTCAGTATAGAGTACTCAGAACACTCATTCTTAGTTGACAAGCCTTTGTCCTGAAAACAAGCTTTTTAAAAGTTTTTATGAAAATCTTATTCTTACCTGTTACTGAGAAATAAACAAGATTATCCAACTTAGTGAATCCCATCCAACCACAATTATTTATTTTTAAAGAAAATCACTACACTTACCAGCACATTTTTCTTACCCATTTCGTAAGCAGGCTGGGTACTAATACTTTCTGGCATAGATGACCAAAGCCTAGTCATTCTCCACAAGTAGTTTAAACCCCAGTCATCATTCTAAAACTAAGCCACTCTGGCTACAAGCTCTGTTCTGTTAACCCCAAGACTTAGACAATATGTACCTGGATGACAGCACATGTCAGTTACAAGATATGCATTCCTTTAGAGTCAATCCTTATATCACAGGACGTGAAAAATAGCTGCTTGGTGTCTGGATCACTAGGACATTGGGTTAAAACTACCACACATAGATAAGCTATTTGTTCAGTCAGAGAGAACGGGCATAAAGTGACAATGCAAAAACAAAAAAAAGAGAGAATGTATTTCTTGTGAAAGCAGAAGAGAATAAAATGAAATGGAGTCATGCAGAAAAACTAAGTACTTACTACTTTGGATAATCTACTCTGCAAGCTCCTGCCACCGGCCCCAATACTATCAATTAGAAATGGGAAATGCTAACACTTTGTCAGTTCCAAACTCAACATAGTACAAAGCAAGGAAACTTTTATTACTACACTCACTCAAGTAGTGATTAAGTGTCCCAAAGTTTGGCCTGGTAGCTTAAGACGATCAAATATTAAATTTAGTTTCACAGAAGAACTGTTTTAACATCCTGATTCTATTACAAGAGCAAGAAGGGGGAAAAAATTCATTAAAGGTTTAGCATAGCCACTTCATTTCAGGTACCACTTTTGTTTTTGGGGTGAATATACATAAAACCAAACCATGTTCCAGCAGTAGTTTTTCTATTTGGTTTCACTAATATCACTTAAAGAGTTTAATACAGGCCAGTTAGTGCTTTAACAGCGTTCTCATCTGGGACAAATTTAACTCTAAATTCACATGGCAAGTAATGTACAAGTATCCGTTAGGAACTTATCAATCTGTGAAGCATTTTAAAGAGTCCATGTAACATACAAAGCAATGTAATATTTGTAACCAGAAACTGCACTGACTAATAAGCGGACACAGCTTATCATCTGGTTTGTTAAACTCTACACCCAACACATGCTGTTTTTTATTAAAACAAAACAACTTAAATCTCAAGTTACATGGTTTTACAATCTGGTCCTACTGAAGGAGTACACAGATTTCCTTTCTTGCAGACAGGTTAATATTCAGGAAGAACACACGTAGAGCACACTGGCAAATCTGACAGATTGTACCATCTGGATTACAAAAAAATTTGAATTAATCTGAAGAATTGGCAAGGAGTTACCAGAGAAATTATGTAGTGGCCTTGATTTTTATTTTTCTTTACCTAGAATTCTACAACTCTAAAATTTATCAATTGATTTATCTTATTAATAAACAGCACCAGTCTTGCCCATTGATACAATTAAAATTTGACCTTTTCAGTTCTTAGTTCACAAGTTTATTATGAAAAACACTGCAGTGCTCTTGTGCAGTTAACATTGTCTTACAGGTGGGGAAAAAAAAAACAGTTCTGTTCAAAACAACTCACCAGGTTCTGACAACAACAAAGAACAACATGAGGCTGAGACTGAAGAGGGAAATAAACTGAGTGCAGACAAATCATACAATTAAATTAAACGGTATCCCTGAAAATAAACAAAACGATTTCAAAACTCACAAGTAGAGGGGAGGCCTTGGTACTTATTGTTAAAAATGTTCATTAAGCTCCAATGATTGTTTGATGCTATCCTTATCTACAGTCATGCTGAGTAAAGCTATAGCTAAATGGAAGTTAAATTGTATTCACGAGGTGTTAATGTTTACATCTTAATATCTGCAGTCTCTCAGAGAAAGCAAAAGTAACTACAAATAGCGCTATGCCAGAAACTGGTTTCTTGACCAACAATGTCGCTTCAGCATGCAATGAACTGGTTCATTCTAAAGTGGTCACGGCTGTTGATGACAAGAGGCTTTGTATTTTTATATGGCACATCTTTTGGTCCGTGTGAAAACAAGTTTTTTTTTGAATGTTAACTATTCTCTGACACTTTGGAGTTACTGTTGCTCTTCCCGTTTCCAACAGGTCAATATATGGTTCATGGCAATACTGTACAAGTTTAAAATTTCATTACAGGAAGTAGTCTGGGGTACGACGAGTAACATGTGGCTCGCCTCTGCGAGGCGCTGGGTCAAACTGCAAGCTGAAAAATAAGACGTATTTGCTGTTTATATTCCAAGACATCGATGTACTGACAATCAAAATTAAGAATATTAGTCTTTCAAACTTTGCACATTTTTTTCTATCCAATTTCAGCTTGCCTTAATGTAACAGTGCCCTAATCATAGTCTAATCATGCATTTCATGTTAAATGTCTGCTAGATGCACTCCTCTCCAGAAGAGCCAAAGTAACTGCAGCCACAGAGGCTGTGCTTTCATACACTGGGGCTCCTTCTAAGCTTGTTTAAAAGAAGGGCTCTACTAAATGAAGTTAAAAAAAAAATCTAATGTACTTATCTGTAATCTCATCCTCAGGATATACTTCATTAAATCCACAATAAAAACAAGGGCTTAAAAGTTAAAACCCTAATAATTTATATTAGGGTCTATATATAAGTTAGTTTCTGTTGATGTGTTTCAACATATCATAGGTCCACTTTATAGAAAACTTAAAAATCAAACTGGAATGTGATTTAGCATTAGCTCTTTAACTCTTAAGTTTAGTATCTCATTAAAACCACGTATTCAAGTAATGGCAACCAACTACTCAGATGTAAATACTTACAAAGAGTATTTTAGAGTATCATCAAGTTCCATGATTGCAGCTTGGTTACCACAACGATAACAATAGTTTGGAGCACTGAAAATTGTTACTACATTTCGGTCATGGCACCAGTTATATCCCTACAAGGAAAAGAAAGGAAATTTAAAAACCTACTTTTATTCCCTTATTTACACAATTAAATGTGACTGCACTCAAGAGAAAAGATGATCTCCTTTTCTCCGCAAAAGGCTTAAGAAATGCTACTGCTTTACTTCTGGTGACTTAATTGTCTGTACCTTGTACAATTAAAAAAAATACATGCATTTATTTTTTCCCAAATTACAAAACTAGTTTTTTTATTATAAAAAGAAAAAACCCTTAAAAAATAGGATTAACCACCAAGAATAATCTGCCTGTTATATGTGGGCTTCTGTAAGTGCATCAGTGTCTTATCAGTTTCTCTTATTGCAGAGACATCAAACATGATCCAAGAATGAATATTTATGTGGACATTCCTTTTAGAGGCAGATATATACTCCTGGAGACCAAAACCAAAACCTGTTGCTGTCAAGTCAATTCCAACTCATAGCAACCCTATAGCACAGAGTAGAACTGCACCATAGGGTTTCCAAGGAGCCGCTGGTGGATTCGAATGGTCAACTTTTTGGTTAGCAGCCAGGACCTTATTAATCCTCTTATCAGTCAAGCGAAGGCCCTTAAGTTGCTTCCTGCCCAGGTACAAAGGAAAGAATGCCTCTAGGATGATTTCCAGCCTCACTCCCCCAAAGTCCATCTGAATGCATGAGCTACTTTTTAAGTATTCTTCACAAATTTTCTTCCCTATCTTTAGAAAAGTCAGGCTTTATTGACAACAATCACGTAATTGTATCAGTATTAATCTAAACAGGCCCTGTTTTAAAAAAGTATGCTGATCAATCTTGTACATTAAGAAACTTAGTCTGCTTCCCCTTTAGTTCATTCTTCTTTCAAATCACCTGTAACCCTAGCATCCAAAGGACCACTGTAAACATTTTGGTTTATTTCTTCTCAATCTCTCCTCCATACATACATGTTTTAAATATAGGAAACAAGCAAAATTAGGATCATAGAATGTTACATCCTCTTGCTGCAACTTACTTTCTTACCCATACATTCCAAGCACTTCCTAGTCATTTAAGAATTCTCTGAAAACATGTTAACTATGTATTTCACTGTAATCAAAAGCTTGAGGTTTTAATTCTAGTTATCTGCATCTACTGAAAGGGCTCAGGCTACATCGGCAAACTCATCAAAAAGAATATATGGAATGTTCTCATTCATATCATTAGTTTAAAACTAGTATATTCTTTGTTAAATTTACTAAAAAGCAAACCATGTTTCAAAGAACAGAACATACCTCCATTACCAGCTGGTGAGCTCTAGACACCAACGTGAGGCCATTGGCATGATTAAATGTCTCAGAAATATCTTGTCCAAAGGTGTAACCGGCTCCTCGAGGAGATATGCCCCAACCACCTCGGTCATCTGGATCTGACCACAGCAAGTCACACATAGGACCCTAAAAAGCAAGTTCAAGTTCTAACTGCCTCTTACAAAAATGGTCAACACAGAATTTAAGTAATTCATCAGAAGCAGCACGCTACTAATAAGTTGCACCTTGAGTGGTGTTTGCTGAAAATGGTAATAGATTTTGCAATTAAGGTCAAATATCTATGTACCAATGCCAGCTCAAATAAGACACAGCTTCCAGATGTTCTTATGAGGCACAGCCTGCATCAATCGGCCCCAACAGCAACATGCCCTAGCTAATTAATCTGCCTCTAGTTTGTAAATCTCAATGTTTGGCAGTATAATCTAGTGGCTAAGGCTGAGGCTCTCAAGACCAACCACCTTAGGTCTGTGATCTGCTAAAGAATGGGGTCAATAAGATGAACTAAGTTACAATTACATTTCTCTTTTTCCTAAAAAGTTTTCTGAAAAGATTTTATTAGCAAATGAAAATCAAATACCTCATGGGGAACTTCTTGTAGGCGATCAAGTGCTCTGATGTGATCCAGTGTATCTATGGATGGTGAGAGGCCACCATGTAGACAGAAGATCTGAAAAGAGTGGTTTATAATGTTATATAACCTCACCCAAGAGACGCTTTAAATATTTTGGACTAAGGTGCAGGCAGTAGCCCACATCACTTGGCCCCACTACTGTTTCTGTGCTCTACCTGAGCCAAGCTTGTCTCTGCAGGATGATTCTCACTTCCAACTGACTCTAAACTGTGAGTACATGTTCTCTGTTGATAAACTATCGTTACTGCACCTAGACTCCACTCAATCAGCTCCTTCAAGAAAACGTTTCCCTGACCTTAAGCCCACCCCTCACTCCCCTGCCCCCAATAGAGAACAGTATCTTCATTCTCACAGAATTTCCTTGCAATCTCTTCTGCATGCCTCTACCAGGATCAGTGAATAGTTAATTACATCTCCCAGACTTGTCCAGAAACACCCTGAGAGGATGGATGGGCTACATCTTCCATCCCTGCAATCCGAACACACAGTTCAGTGCATGACACAAAGAAGGTATTTAAAAACTGTTGGCTGAATGAATGCTATCTACCAAAAATAAGCCCAAAAGGGATGTGAGGGTGGAAAAAAAAGTCACTGGTACCTAAACATTAAGAAAGTAGATTCTTGAAAATAGTCAGCAATGTGAGTTTTAAGATGAACCACATACCTGCCCATCCACCAAGGCAGTGAGAGGGAGATAGTCAAAAAGATCTGTAAAATATTTCCACACATTTGCATTTCCATATTTCCTTAAACATTCATCATAGAAACCATATACTTGTGTGATCTGTCTGCTCTCATGATTCCCTCGAAGAATGGTGATGCGTTCACGGTAACGAACCTAAAACAACAAAATGGAAAACATAAAACAGCTGGCTCTTCTAAAAAATCAAATGACAGCTCTGGAAACTTTGAGGGATATCCAGAGTTCCAATTTTATGTAGAAAAGCAGCATCTCTATACCCTCACATCACACCAAACTGAAATCAGATGTGTCTGCCTACCTCATCTCAACTAAAAGTAAACTCTCCCTACCACCTGCTTTACATCAAGCATATTCAGGGGCTGTAAACTCCATACATGCTTTTTTTTTAGTTTAGTTATGCAACCATCACCCCAATCCAGTTTTAGAACCATTCCATCATCCCAAAAAGATCCCTCATGCCTGCTTGCAGTCACTCCCTGTTCCCAGCATTTACTGATTTACTGTCTCTAGATACTTTTGTCAACTATGAAAACAGCTTGCAAGCTAACCTGTGCTTAAAGCTCTCATTTCTAGACATTTCATATAAACAGAATCATATAATAGGTAATCTTTTGTGCGTGGCTTCTTTGATTTAGCGTAGTGTTTTTGATGTTCATCCATGTTGTAGCATGGATGAGTGGTTTGTTCTTTTTTATTGCTGCATAGTATTTCACTGTATGGCTATACTGCATTTTGTTTATCCATTCACCAGCTGATGAACATTTCAATTGTTTCCAGCTTTTGGTTATTCTGAGTAATGTTGCTATGAGCATTTGCATGGAAGTTTTTGTATGGACATGTTTTTGCTACTCTTGGATAGATTCCTGGGGTGTAACTGCTGATCATGTGGTAAGTCTATGTTCTACTTTTTGAGAAACTGCTAAACTGTTTTTCATAGTTGTACCATTTTATATTCCCATCTGCAGTGTATGTTGTTTATTGTTGTTATTATGAGTGTTCCAATTTCTCCACCAACACTTGGTATTATCAATCTTATTGATTATAGTTATTTTAAAGGGTATGAAGTAGTATCTCATTGCAGCTTTTATTTCCTTAATGACTAATGGTGTTGAATATCTTTTTATGTGCTTATCTGACCATTCATCTATCTTCTTCAATGAAATGTTGATAAAATATTTTGCCCATTTTCAAACTGAGTTTGTCTTATTACTAAGTTGTAAGAGTTTTTTTTTTAAAATATATTCTGGATATAAGTATTTTATCAGGTATATGATTTCTAAATGTTTTCTCCCGGTCTGTAAATTCTCTTTTTTCTCAATGAAAAGTTTTTAATTTTGATGAAGTCCTCCTTATTTTTGTATGGATCGTGATTTTGGTATCAACTTTAAGAAATCTATACTTAACCCAAGGCCACGAAGATTTTCTTTTTGTCCTCCTAGAAGTCTTATAGCTTTAGCTCTTACATTTTGATCCAGTTGTGAATGATATGAGGTAAAGCTCTAAGTTTGTTTTTTGAATACAGACATCCAATTGGCCCAGCACTATTCGTTGAAAGGACAATTCCTTCCCCCTCTTACGTGAATTCTTTAAAGTAGCATAATCATTCCTCTTCTGAGCAGTGGGATTCATCCTGGGTTTTAAGCACAGGTTGGCTTGCAAGGCTGCTTTCATAGTTCACAAAAATGATCTCTCATCATAGCAGAAACCTTCCATCATCTAATCTGATTTCTCCATTTTACAGATATAGAACACAATGGCCTCCAAAAATGTTTTGTAGCATTTTACATGATTCAGATTAGTAGTTTTATGAACACATACATTGTATTAATCACCTAAAGTTCAGCTCTTGCCAAAACCACATTTCACTGCTTCCCTAATATAAGTTTGCGGCAGCCAATTCATCATTCTGCATACTCTTAAATAAAAAGAGGTCTACTGGCTAGGAAAATTAAAGATCTTCTTCTGCACATTTCACAAAGCTACAACTTGTATACCTATCATTTTGTAACTTGTTTTTTTCAATTATCCTTTCTACTGTTCTAGAACATTATTATGTCATGTATAATGGCTGCAAAATATTCCACTGAGATAAACTATAATTTAAATATCCACCCACTGGATATTCAGACCAATTTTTTCTTTATATGATATTAAAGATGATACAATTTGTCTTTTCACATAAATAAAGCTTTTTCCACTTCAATTTTTTAGTAAAATTTTAAGTATAGGATTACATTGTCAGGGGTATAAACATTTGACATTTAATATGTTTTGTTCCTTTAAAATACTTCAAAAGTATCTAGAAATGTAATTAGATTACCTCTCCACATCCCAATTTATTGAACTGAAGTTCCTATTTGACCAGCTCTGTAACATTTTTTTCAAACAATGTGACTGATGCATTCTCTTCCTTAGAGAATAACCCTTTTGTTTTCATTCTATAACATCCCTTTACTTAGAATGAAAACAGGTTTATGATTCCTAAGTGCAAAATCCGAATACTTGTACTCCTAAATGTGGAGTGTTGTTCTAAAATTGAACATTCAGATGGAGAAAATCACAAATCACAGGGAAAACAGAAACTGAAAATTACCTTAAGAGCTACAAGCAGTGTAACTGTTTCAACTGAATAATATCCTCTGTCAACATAATCTCCCATAAACAAGTAATTTGTATCTGGTGATTTGCCCCCAATTCTAAACAGTTCCATGAGATCATGAAATTGCCCATGTACATCTCCACAGACAGTGACTGGACATCGAACTTCTTGCACATTGGATTCTTTTGTCAGGATTTCTTTAGCCTACAGATGGGGAAAAGAGTAAATCAATACATTTGGCATTAAACATTAACACAGATTAAGTTTGCTTACACTTTAATGCATCTTAAGGGGTAAACTCAGTACAAGACGAAAAGTTATTTTAATGTCTACTCTCTGCAGACATTTATGATTCCACTGAAATTAAGACAAGATATGGCTGGATTCTATCCACTGGCTGTCTCACCCCTTGATACCTAGAAAAATGTGTACTGTTATGGGTAGCCCCGTTTTTACATCAATATCAGGAGTTTTTAGGCCTACTCGCTGCTATCTACTTGATGCTAAAGAGATAATCATTAGCACTCTTACAAGATCAATGAAAAAATGGAGCAAGACATTCAGGTACCTACTTCCTTAGCTTCAGAGTTCTAACTATAATGCTGGCACTCCAGGATTCCAGGCTCTGAGGAGAGGTTCAGTAGAACTGCCCGAGTTTTTTTTTTAATTTTTGAAAGACATTAAAATTTTGTATTTCTTTACATTCTTTACACCAAAATATAAAATTTGTTTTACAGTTGTTAGTGTTCAATAAACATGCTTTTTATCGTGCTTTAAAAAAAGTTACATGGTAGCATATGCAGTCGCCCGTGTAATCACAAATTCAAATATTACATTTAAGGGCAACGTACCATTTCACTCAGTAGAAACCCTAGCATTCATTCAGTAAATTTTTATTGATCATTTACTGTATGCCAAGACTCTAAAACGCACTGGGAGATAATCATTCATTTGCTGAACAATCCCAGTGACTACTATGTACCAGACCCTGTGCCAGCCACTGGAGATAAAGCAGTGAACAAGATAGGGTCACTCCCACTACTGTAGGGGGAAAAAAAACTATAAACAAGTACACAAGAAAGAAAAGTAGACTGTGTTAATTGCCACGAAAGAAAGGGGAGAGTAACTGGGGAAGGCCACTTTAAATAAGATATTACAACAAACAAGACAACCCATAAAAGTGCAGTCTAGCAGGAGGGTCAGACAAGAAAATTATTATTACAACAGAAAAGGCCAAGTGATTAGACATTATATTCTGTGTAAACAGCACAGTGTTCCAAGATCACAAACACTGCGACAGCTAAGAAAACTGCCTACCTGGGGTCCAAAAGATGCACAGGAATTATTTACAGGAAAGGGGCAGGAGTAGGAAATTGGAGGTGGTCTAGTACAGAGAGATGCAATCATGTGTATAAAGTCCCAGAAGTTATGAGGAAAGAGTTAACATTACGGCTGAAGCGTAATACTCAAAATGGAGAAGAAGCTAGACTGGAGTCTGGGCAGGGTGACCAACTAGCCTAGTTTTAGCATAGGAAATTCCTCACCCCAGGAAATCCCTCAGTCTCTGGAAAACCATGACAGTTGGTCAACCCAGGTGAGGATGTAGAGGGAGAATAGGGTATGGATAGGGACTGATGGACACTAAGTGAGGGACTGAGACTGGAGAACAAGTGTAATGGAAATAGCATTAAAACAAAGATTCACTGACTGAAAAATTGATGAATGAATTGAGGATTTCAGAGGAATGGCCACAGAGGTGGGGAAGCACTGGTGTCACAGTGATTAAGAGCTCAGGCCCTTAACATTTGGTTAAGAGAGCTCACTTAACCAAAAGGTCAGCAGTTCAAATCCACCAGCCGCTCCTGGAAACCCTATGGGGCAGTTCCACTCTATCATATAGGGTTGCTATAAGTCGGAATCGACTCGATGGCAACGGGTTTTTTTGGTTTAGTATTCAGTGACCAATCTACCACCAAGTCCTGCCTAGTCTACCTACAAAACACATCTCAAATCCATCTACTTCTATCTGTATAGCCACCACCCGGGCCAAACCACCATCATCTCACCTGGATTACTGCACCAGCCTCCACACTAACTCCCTCTTTCCATTCTTCCTCCCTCCAATCTATTTTTCACGCAACAAAGTGACACTTTGTTAAAAATAATTAACTTTGTTGTTAACATATGCAGCAAAAGCATATACCAATTCAAGTTTCTACATGTACAATTCAGTGACATTGATTACACTCTTTGAGTCAAAGTGACAGTTTTTAAAACATTCAGATTAATTTTTTTTCACCCTCCTGATTTTTTAATATGAACAAGCAGAAGTTTGCCAGGCATATTCCCTTACTAAGTCTGTGTGGCATTAACACCATGTCTAGTGTTTTTCACACTAATGAAAATAGATGCAAATGAAATGATACAGTCGATTTCAAGAAAATTTGCCAAAGTTACTCAGAAATTTTAAAAGGAAAATGGTGTAAGAAAACAAATGGACACATACCATGTAAATCTTGCCATGATGAATTTTCACGTTTAATTCTATCAGAAGTTAAATTTCTAAGTACATCTCTGGACACCTGATTGAAATACTGATAGTACCATGAATAAAAGATACCTATCCTTATCTGCAAGGAGCCCTACTGGCACAGGGGTTAAGCACTCACCTGCTAATCTAAAGGTTGGTGGTTCAAACCCACCAGCTGCTCCATGGGAGAAAGATGTGGCTGTCTGCTTCCATAAAGATCACAGTCTTGGAAACTGCACGGGGCAGTTTTACTATGTCCTATAGGGTCGTTATGAGTTGGAATCAACTCGACAGCAACAAGTTTGGATTTCTGATCCTTATCTGTAATCTGCTACTAGCCTAAAAGGTTGGTGGTTTAAGGCCACCCAGAGGCTCCATGGAATAAAGCCCTGGCAAACTACTTCTTTAAAGATTACAACTGAGAAAATCCTATGGAGTAGTTCTATTCTGTAACACATGGAGGTGCCATGAGCCAGAATCTACTCGGCAACAGGTTTGGTTTAGTTTGTAATTATCGATGTCCTCTCAACATTCTGAGTTTGGATTAAGAAATCTTACAACTATATTTTTCAATTTACTATAAAACAATCAGCTACACATTGAGTGACCGACCTACAGACTTGTTTTGACATTTTTGGATACGGGCTATCCTAATCACCACGTTGTTGTGTGTCGTCAAGTCGATTCTGACTCATATCAACCCTATAGTTCTACTGCCCCCATAGGGTTTCCTAGGCTGAAACCTTTTTGGGAGCAGATCACCAGGTCTTTTCTGCCACAGAATAATAGTTGGTGGGTTTGAACCTTCAACCTTTTGGTTACCAGCCAAGCAGTTAACCACTGTGCCACTAGGGTTCCTTCTAAATTAACATAGTCACATGAAATTACAAATAAGGTAGACCTCATAGATCATCCATGTCAACATTTCTCAAGAAAGACAAAAACCATGAATTAACAACAGATTCACCAACTGTTTATATATTAATTTCCTTTAAGGACACACAATAGCTATTATCATTTCTAGTTAACACATACTGTGGAAAAAGCCACTCAACACATTTATGCATTTTCTACTATTAAATCAAGCAAATATTTTAAAGTACAAAATGATTACAAATCCTATGTATAAAAAACAGACTGAAAAACCTTAAAATATTAAATCTTGTTTATTTCAGTGGTGGAACTACCCCTCAATCTCACATTGAGCATTCTTGCTTTACTAACTAAAATGCAGCACTCAAAACCTGAAGAAAATTAAGAGAAAAATGTTTTAGGCTGACCTTAATCCTACCACACTAACATAAAAACTACTCTCATTTCTTTGTATCGTTAGCTGCCATCAACTCTGACTCATGGCGACCCCATACACAATGGAATCAGACCTTTGTGATTCAAAGGGTTTTCAATGGCTGATTTTTGAAAATAGACCCACCAGGCCTTTCTTCCTACTCCATCTTAGTCAGGAAGCTCCGCTGAAATCTGTTTCACATCCTACCTAGCAGCACGCAAACCTCCAATGACAGATGGGTGGTAGGTATTCTTGAGGTGCACTGGCCAAGACAGAACCCAGGTTTCCCACATAAAAGGCAATTAATTCTTCATACTATCTTCTAGTTTTTACTCACATGTTGATGTTAGGTGCCATCGAGTCGGTTTTGACTTAGAGCAATCCTACGTGCAACAGAACAAAACACTGCCCAGTTACCCATACATAGACCTCATATTTATAATTGGTCAACACCTCACTTTGTACCTCAAAGTTTTGTTTTCACTAATTCAAGTTCCTACAGCATTATACTGATCATTTTAAATTGCTGTATAGTATCCTGAACAGCTCTATAGATGTATTATTTATTTAAATTATTCCCTTTCAAAAATTTTCACTTGAGAGGTTACAGAGCAAACAGCACGAATATTTTTTTGATTTGACAGGTTCTACAAAACTGGATTATGCCAATTTAGTATGAATGAAAGAATGTACCAGTTCTTCAGCTATTTCAGATTAAAATGCTACCTCATTGATATTTTTCATTTCAGAGTTCAAATTTTTATTCCTTATTGACTATCAGTTATTTCCCCTTGGAGCCCTGGTGGCACAGTGGTTAAGAGCTTGACTGCTAACCAAATGGTCGGCAGTTCAAATCCACCAGCTGCTCGTTGGCCACGTTCTTTGAGCGTCTATTCATCAAAGCTAGACGGCGTTTAGCTGTATAAACAGTTTTAATCTGTGATTTTAATGAAGTTTTTTTCCATTTTGTTTAGCTCATTTTTTAAATATATAGTTCCATTTTTTTCTGTCCACATTTACTTTGTAATTTTTTTCCTTGCTACAATTGTAAAAAATAAAAACTGTCACCTTGCCATTTTCCAAGTTTTTTTCTGTTTTAAATTGATACTTTATTCTCAACAAAACTCTAGCCAACAGAATTCAGCATCATATCAAAAAAATAAACACACCACAACCAAGTAGGATTCATACCAGGTACACAAGGATGGTTCAACATTAGAAAATCAATCAACGTAATCCACCACATAAATAAAAGGAAAGAAAAGAATCACATGATCATCTCAATTGA